TGCTGCCTGCGTTTCCTTTATCTACAAGGATGTTCAAGGAGCAAATCCATTTTGTTAAAATGCTCCAGATGGTGTTTTATATACCTGGCAGTTTACAGTTCACTTGAGAATGTTTACTGACTGCAGAGCTGCAATAAGTGGTCTTGTTCAGGAAGCAGGTGCGCCGCTGGTGTCTCTTCCCCAGTTGCAAAACACTTGTGTACAGGTGTTCCTGTTTTTATATGGTTACAATTAATCAGTTAGGATGATTTGCTGCACTTGCTTGTAATGATGACAGCAGATAAGCTGCAGTTGTTCAGGCAGTACCTGTAAAAGAGTTAAAGACCCTTATTAGCTTCTCCATTTTTGCATATCCTCCTTGTTCAAAGGAAAGGAACTTCTTTGGCAAAATACGTCTTACTAATAAGTCTGCTTTTGAGTGATTCATCCCTTCAAACAGTAGTAAAGCTTTAAAATACAATCAAGGTACTTTTTTCCTATTTGTCCTGCAGAGCAATCTATGAAGCTTCAAACGGTTAAAGGCAAAGTTCTTGTAACAGGATCTGCGAAAAGCAACTGTGTTGTTTTTATTAAAGGTGGTCTAATAGTTTCCACAGTATTTTGTTATTCTATTGAGCTTGTGTGTAGAATTTCACCTGCAGTACTGTGGAACTCTGTGTTAATGAATACTGCTTATATTTGAGTAATAAAGACAAGGGTGGGGACTGCAGCCTGAACGAGATCTTCAGTGCCAAGTTGGTTGGTTTCTGTAGAACTGCACTTCTTGGAATTCTCTGCAGCCACCGAGAGGCTGACTTTCTCTGACTGTGCACGTAACAGGCTCTCTGCCTTTCCGGCAGCCCAGAAACACACTGGCTCAGAGGTCAGGGCTTCTCTGCCAAGGTCACACAGAGTTTACAGCCACCTGGTGAGAGACTAGCTGTTGAACTCGGGAGTCTTTGTAGCAGTCTACCTTCACGGATTGCTAAAGGGGGGGGTCTCTGCTCGATCTGGGGAGGTGCTAAAGCTCTGTCTGGTGCACAGGCCGCAGTCGGAGGGAGAAGGGAGAATCCCATGACCTGGTTCTGTGCTGACCCACGTGTGGCGCTGTGCCTGGGCATGTTCCTTGTGCGCTGTAAATCATTGACAGGCAAGGAAGCTGCGTCCGCGGTCGTCACCAGGTTAAAGAATGCCGTGTGGATGGCAGCTAAGTTATGCCCTGCCCCAGGGGCTACATGTGCAGTAGAACTTCACTAGAATACGACTCGAATCGCCAGGGTCCCTTCCGGCCAGAGGTGTTAAGGCAGACTGAGCATGGTGGCAGTGCTTTGGTTGTGCTTTTCAAAAAGGGGAAAACTGCTTTCTGATTTTCCAGAGTGCAAGCAGGCTTTTGGACCTTCCCTTGCTGCAGCATGGTATTTTGGAGAATTGTAATTTTCTTTGGTTGGTTTACTGCTTTTTTTCCCCAAGGTTCGTGGGGTGTTAATCTGAATCATGTTAGGGTGACCTTTAAGACTCTCACCTTGGGAAAAAATGGACCCATTTGTAGTTGAGTCGAGTTTGCAGTGCATGCCCCAGTAGGAAGCGCAGAACTTCCTGTATGTATTTGCTTTCCTTCATACAAGAAAAACCACAGGTGTCTACTTTATGCTGATAAGGATTTATCTTCTGAAAAATCAGCTATTATTTCGATATATCATCTAGTCATTACTGCCCCAATTTTCCATGAGTTGTAGTCCTTTTGCAAGAACTTTGGTGGATTATTTACAAGTAGCATTCACAAATAAAGATCATGCATGCACCCTGATGGGAATGCGATGCATTTTTCCTGCGCTCTCAATTTGATGATGACTTGCAGATAAACCCCCCCACCACCCCAAACTGAACGGTGGCCCCTCTTTGTTTTCCACGAGCTTGATAATTCAAATCTAGCTGGCTCTTTCTGCAATTCATCTTTCTGCAATTCTTATCTTGCGCAACACGTCGTTCTTGGGCAGAACACGGCATTGCATTTTTGTGTAAGCGGGGTCATTAGAAAACCTACAACAGTCACTTTTGGGAAAGCGGTAGGAAGGAGAGCAAGCAATATGTGCCAGTAGTGGTTTTTAGACATGACATTGTTCCAGCAGTTTGTGTATGCTTGAGAACACAAGAATTTGAGAAGGGTTGCAAACACGTAGGCAGTTCTAGCGTGGTTAATTCCCCCCCCCCCCCCACTTGTTGACCATGGATCTCATTCAGCCATTGAAACTTATTCCTGTATGCGTTTGTGTAAAGAAGTGCCTCTGTTTTTGGGAGAGTTTGCACTTGTTTCACTGTGGATTCGGGTGAAATCTGCTGGATTGCAGGGTGAAATCTGCAGGTCCGTGTTCTGACACATGAAACCGTGGTTTTGAATATGCCGTCAGTCATGTAGCGGCGGTACGGCTGTGATTACTTCCGAAACACAAGGG